AGCGTAGAGTAGCTCAGTCGAGTAGCTTGAGTGAAAACAGGCGTCGACTCTAGAGTAGCGCCGGCGTCGACTCTAGAGTAGCACAGAGTAGCGTACAGTAGCTCAGTGGAGTAGCTTAGAGTGTCGAACAGGCGTCGACCGTCCAGTACACCTGCCCTCAAGTCGGCAGTGCGCGAGCCCCAGAAAGTAGTTTCTATGTAGCGGCGCTCGACCGGTAGCGGCGCTGGACTGGTAGCGCATCGCGCGCAACCCCGGTACTACGTGCGGTAGGGCCGGTAACACGCTTTGGTACCGGCGCTGGCAAGAGAACCAGGTACAGGCCCTGGCATGGAGCCGCCCGCGACGGTTCAACTTCTAAGAGCAAACGATCAGCGGACGATCGGGACCGTTGCGGAGTGTAAAATCGCAGGGCCCCGATCGTCTGCTTGTCACGGGCCAAAAAATAGCGATAGTTATATGTGATAGTAGTGATAGTAGTGATAGTAGTGATCGTAGTGATAATAGTGGTAGAGGCATGCCTTTCTCACCCGAAACAAGAGCAATCGATGCTCTCGTCTTGCCTGCTGGGTCACACTAGGGGTGAAGGGGGCCCTTGCCTGGATTCTTCCTTTCCCAACTGTTACTCACAAACATCGACAGCCAGAAAAAAAAAAAAGGATATGGGTACAACTGTGCCCTTTCCACAGGCTGCCGTAGTCCCCGTTGCAACAGATTCACACAAAAAAAAAGGCCAAGCAACTGAACTTCGTGAGCTGCAGGGCTATGTTGAGCTAGCCATAGGAACGTAGTTAGCGTGCTGGGCTAGGTTGGGCTAGGGGTGAATAGGAGATATCTAAGCACCCCGTAGCGAGTGCGATATCGACGGTGCCCAGCAACTAAATTTAGTGCTGCTCGGTAAAGATCATGTTAAGTGATTCCGTTAAGACGGTTAAGTGCTTTACTGAAAACAACAATGTGCTGGGCGGAGATCATGCTGCCAACGGGCTAAGAAGGACGGTGCACAGGGATGGTGGTAGGCGGCCAGACTTTGGATATGGAGGTATAGGTTCACAGCCCCCAGAGGCAGCTACTCTACTCTGCGCTCTTGTAAAAACTTATAACCCAGCAAAGCGTAGAGACTGCGTTCCCAGACAAAACAAAAAAAAGACAATGTCATCCCCATTATGCTTTTTCCTACTATGTCTTCCCCCGAACACAACGCACCCTCATTTTTTGACTGTATCGGGGCAGAAACATGCCTTGCTTACGTTCATTTTCAGGGTGCGTTATGTTCGGGGGAAGACGGTAGGATTGTAGACGGGAATGCCGCGGTTTGTAAGCACGAGTCATCAGTTTGTGCCGATATTACATCCCCATGCCCCCTTTGTACAAACCGGCCGTCGATCCTACCGATCGAATGGTTCGGTAAAGTGTCCGGATGGCGGTGATCTCGGCGGTTTGCCGCTGCGGGTGCTGAGAGAAGTTCATTAAGCCTTATCATTTTGAGGGAGGAGTCGTAACAAGGTTTCTGTAGGTGAACCTGCGGAAGGATCATTGAAAAAAAGAAGAAGACAAAAAGATTGTTGAATGGTGAAGGAAGCGGGAAGCAAAGGAGGTTGAAGAAACAAGGCGGCAAGAAAAGGGGGCATTGAGCGCGTTGTTTATTTCCATCGCGCTCGTGTGTGTAACTTCTGCATGTCAGCTTCATTTCCACTAGGTCAGCCTAACGCTCACTCGCAAATCTTGGGTGTTGTGTCACAGCACCTATATCATTGCCCCTTGCCCTGTAGGGGTGTGAGTGTGGGTGTGGGTGTGGGTGTGGGTGTGGGTGTGGGTGTGGGTGTGGGTGTGGATGTTTCTGTACTTGGATGAGAACTGATGGTTCATTGCGGGGTGTGGGTGTGGAAGTGGGTGTGGGTGTTTTTGTACAGTTTTGAAATCAGGAATTCACCAATGCTGGTCAGGGTTCCTTCGGCCAGACGGAAGGAAGCGTGAGTGTGTCTCATGATGTATACAATTTTGACTTGCCGGGGGAATAGGAACCGGACTGACGCTCCCCAGAATGGACATGGAGCCAGGGCCATAAGGACAAGGAATTCACCAAGCCCATGTGGCTGAATGGTACACCCATGAACTGTGTGGGTGTGGAAGTGGCTGTGGGTCTGTTGATAAACAGACCTGAGTTTGAATCCTTGATGATGGAATCACATATAAATAAAATAAACTTTAATAAAGGCTGAATTACCTGCGGCTAGTCGGGTCTACAATGATACCTCAAGGTTGTCCTAGTTAAACCACCAGTACTTCCTAGAGTCGTGTGCCCGTTAACACGCCACGATTCTAGGAAACGTACCGCCACTACAGGAGCGCCCAAATTCATCCAACTAGAAATGTTTCTACTCTATTTTTTTCCCGCGGCCGATAGCTGGGCCAAGTACTGGTGGTTTAAGCCACCAGAACCTCTCCTTGTCGTTTCCTTCCGATGCATTAGTAGTATTTTTTTGTACCCATCCGCAGTTTTCGCGGGTTCGAAAAGAAAAGAAAAAAATTGCGCCGCTCTGGTTTGTTTTGTTTCTCCGCCTAGGGAAAAAGAGGGTTGGAGGAACTGGTGGTTTATGAGAAAGGCGAAGAAAAGGGAAACAAAAAAAGAAATCAAATCACAAGTCCCCAGGAATGTGTACGGAGCCGTTTTCCCCTTTTCTTCCCATTGTCCTTTTCTTTTTCCACTTTCCTAAATTTGCTTTGCTTCAAAAAAAAAAAAAAAAAAAAAAAAAAAAAAAAAAAACCTGCAACTGCTTATACCTGTTCACCAAGAGAAGCAGCCAAATCACCCGCCACAGTACCAGCTGCCGCCGTTGTCGCTGCTGCTTGCTCCTTCCACTGCATCTCCATTCCCAGAGCTAAGCGCGCGTAACCGGAAAGGAACGCTAAGAAACTTGCATGTACAATCTCCAGTGTGTTGAATGCTCCAAACACCGTGCGACCGATATCCAACGCAACAGCTCTCGTGATTAAAGGGGCTTTAAACTTCACCTGCAAGCCAAAACCAACTATCAGGTGGTCTTATTTGTGCCCCCTCGCAGTCATTATTTCATTCACTACTGATAACATGGCTTTGTGCCACAAAAGGGGTCAATTACGCACGCACCGCATACGTGCACGTGCAAACACACACACACACACACACACACACACACACACACACACACACACACACACACACACACACACAGATGCTTTACAAACAGGACCTAAGGACATCCTCACAGTAGAACTGTCTGGGATGTATCTGACCGCCGCTATAGCGAGATTCTGTCCAAAAAGTGTGAGTCCGGCCTAGCCACACTGGAACACCTACACCCACAAAGTTATCACCCTGCCAGCCCTGCCAGCCCTGCCCTCCAATGCACTGTGCTGCCCGGGCTTGAAACAAAAAAAAGAAAAAGAAAAAGAAACAAGGCACAATCTTGCAAGGCGCCACCAGCCTTTTCCTTCCGGTACGCCTGAACCACACTTTTAGACCACATTAAACCACAAGTACCTACCAAGTTTTTAGGTGTTAACGCGGTGGATGAATTGGCGTGCCTTTAGGTGTTAACGCGGTGGATGAATTGGCGTGCCTTTAGGTGTTAACGCGGTGGATGAANAACGCGGTGGATGAATTGGCGTGCCTTTAGGTGTTAACGCGGTGGATGAATTGGCGTGCCTTTAGGTGTTAACGCGGTGGATGAATTGGCGTGCCGCATGGGTCTGTATTCATTCGCGTCAGACGGGGCAGCCAAGCCTATTTGTATGAAGCTACCTTCCAAGTCTCCAGAGCATCCAACTGAGTCGAATTTTGGGGGCCTCCACAGCCCACTACCGGCCCAAAAGCGTTCGCATACACCAGTAAGAGCCCAACTTAGCTTCCGTCGAACTGGTGGTTTAAAGAGCCCAACTTAGCTTCCGTCGAACTGGTGGTTTAAACCACTAGTACCTTTGCCATCCGGTTTCAACAAGTTTTAGCCTAGTCCCAAACTTTTAGGAGGCCGGGCCCGACAACAGCTGCCGTTGATAAATTTGATCGACGGCCGTCGTTTCGTTTCCGCCTCCTGAAAGGTTGGAGGCCCACTATTTTCCGGACCGACAAAGGTACCTTTGTCGGTTCGGAAAATAGTGGGCCCAACACTAAGTCGGGGGTTCTTCCTGGTGCACGCGGGACACGCGTGGGTTCAAATTTCCAACCCTTCGAAAGGGACCCATACAGGGGGGGGGGGAAAAAAAGAGCATAACGCTTTGGGTCTGGGGCAGTAGTGGCCCGTGGAGGGTACGAAGAAAAGGCCCAGTCGAACACTCCGGGGGCTCCCTAGAAAGTAGCTTCATCATACCAAAGGCTCGTGTGAACTGGTGTTCGAACCAGCGCCTTGGAACCACGATCCAGGGGCACGGACTGGTTCCTTAAACCCTTAACCGTGGGCCTCGCTCCACTACACAACACTCTACATGCATTTGGACGCTTTCTGGACCCTATACATTCAAAATGTTGCACTCGTCCAAATGCACCTGGTCGAGAAAGC